GCAAAATACAACACATTTACTGTAGTTTAAAATAAAAAATCATAGAATTGATGTTTTGTAATGGACTCTCGCATCAAGTTTCTTCCTATTCCCTAAGCATTATTGATTTGCAAAAACCCCTTTCAATTGGTGCCGATGTGCTTGGCAAACTGAAAATATATTCCAAAATGAGACCAAACATTTGAACGAGAACTTATTTTATCGAAGAAGTGTTTGAGAAATTGCATTAAATATGACTGCAATATATCTGCCCAGTAAGCAGCAGTTAACCTACACAAAATGAAAGTACACTACCCAACTAAAGTTGCCCGTCGTCGTCACTCATTACCACCGTGATCATGAAGATTTGGCCTCCAGAATTGGTTCTCAGCGTTCTTATGTTGGTTTGTTATATTTTTAAATATGATACCAGGTCCTATAATTAATAGGTAAGAAAATATGAATACTGTTTAAATATTGAAAGCTTTCAAATTGGCTACGGTAATAATTGAGTTACATTACCGTAATTACAAATTCATAACGTTTAACTCAGATTAATTAATATTCAACTACCTTTCAAGCTTTGGCTATTGATACAACATCTTTATTCTTGTATTATTATATTGATACTCTTCTTTATCCCATAGTCAATGCTTTCAAGTTTTCAATCATCAGGGTCTAGGTTAAAATGAATGACAACATTAAATGTGGTAGAAGAAATGAATGACATGAGAAGAAGAAACGGGCCGAACGCCAGCATCGAACACTGCCATAAATGCCTGAAAGCGTCTGTCGTCTGCCGATCTTCCCTACTTTTCACAATGTACAAAAAAAAGTCAGACTCAAACGATCCCAAGTTTCAGGATAGAGTTTGTATTCATTCCTACCATTCGCCATAAGTGTAGCCTAAATATTGCAATGAATTTGGTTAACGATTTGCAATAAAAATTATTTATAAGTTCCCCTTAATAGATAATATTTTAAATTATTTGTAAAAAAGGTTTTGGGACTGCTCTCGGCCTCAGGTTCAAATCTCGCCAAACGCCAATGAATTTGATCTAAGTATAAAATCTGCGATCATCTATAGGCCTTGAAGTAATGTGTGTTAAACGATTCCAGGCTAGAGCCTAATAATGTCCTTGTATGTGAAACAAAACAAAAAAGTAATATTTTTATTTTTACAATTTATGTTTTTTTTGTGTGATAATGGCTTTAAAACAGAAGTTAGTGATTTCAATGGAAGTGTGGGAAGGTTTGACAACAGAGGAACAATATTTATTAGTCATACGATTTGTAACGTGTTAACAATAGTTTAGTGTTAACCGTTATTGCTGCTGCCGGTTTAGGTAGGATAATCAGGACTTATATACAATACAACATTTTTATTTTTGTAGTTTATAACATAACCAAATATTTTAAAAAAAACCTTGCATAATAATTTGATGATCACCATTACCGATTTCATGAAAGATAGAACAATGACGTCATGACAAAGTTCATTTGTAATCTGCGTATTATTTATCTACAGTAATATAAGGATTTCTTCTTGAAGATATAGATATTTTTTATGTAGCTGTTTGTTCAATAATATAGCAAACTAGTCGTATTATGATTTTTATAAATGGGAACTACACTTCATGAATAGAATTTTATGTTTTGCTTCTGTATTATTATTTATTATTTGTCCTTTCTGCGGATGGTTGTTTGGGAAATCGAGACTCAGAAATAAATAGTTCAAATTTAAATCATCAGGGAAAGTTAAGTTAAGTTATACACACAAAAAAACTAATAACTCTTATCTGGAAATATATTTATAAAATATAACAACTAGATTACATAACAAAACAAAATTATTATCTTAATTAACAAATTCCATAAAAATATTAATTGTTTTACAACTATATAAATTAATCAGATGGCAATCTACCAGCGAGAAATATGTTTAGTTAGTTTCATCAGCAACTAAACTAACATTTTGTGCTTGTTGAAAGAAAAACTGTTTTGATGGAGGGATTAGGTCTTGACAAATAATTGTAAAATACATATTACTGACAATATTAAGGAAATCATTATGTTACTTTTCAAATAAAATAATTGAGGTCATACTTTTCGAACATCACTGCCTTGGGCCCGAAGACTGTGACGCTACCTAAATCTCTTGGAGTTAAAGGTACAGAATGGGCATGGTTTAGATCTTAAATTTCAGATAGGAAACAGTTTGTAGAAATAGGTCATTATTTTAATAATTCAAAACCTATATATAAGGAGACATATAGTTCGAGCTTGCTAAACATGCAATATGGAGTCCCCTAGGGATCAATTCTAGGTCCCTTGTTATTCCTCTGTTACCTGAAGGGTCTACCAGGGGTGATATGGGACAAGAACAATAAAATTTGTCTCTATGCCGATGACACTAACATGATTGTAACTGCCAATAGTAAAGAAAACCTAGAAAATGCATCTCATATTAACTTATCAATGATTAAAGACTTTTTTTATAGAAAAAACCTTCTGCTAAATTCAAAAAAATCTAATTTTGTAACATTTACAACCAAACAGACTAAGCAAAAATTAAATCCCACAATATTCATTGAAGAAAACTTAATAGATCAATTAGAGAAAACAACTTTTTTGGGATTAGTTATTGATGAAAACCTAACATGGAACGACCATGTAAATCTTGTAGTTAAAAAAACAACAAGTGGTTTGTATGCTCTTCGGAAAATGGCAACCTCTTGCAATATTGAAACTTTAAAAACAATATATTTTGCCTTAATCCATTCACTTGTGTCTCTAAATTAACTTGTCCTCTAAATTAAACATGGATAGAATATTACTCCTATAGAAAAGGGCATTAACGGTAATTTTGAATCCAAAAAAAATCTGATGTAGTTAAAAATGATTTTTCCAAATTTAAAATATTTACTGTTTACAGTCTCTTTATTTTTGAAACAATAAAATTTGTAGCATCTAACAATAAACTAACATTTGGTAATACTGTCCATAGCTATAATACAAGATCCCATCGATTGGTTGAACATCATAAATTAGAGCTAAAAAAAATCACCCATAGAGGAAACAAATATTTTGACCTTTTGCCACAAAATATCAAATACCCCCGCCGCAGCAAACCTGCCGACTAAGCGAATTTCCATTTGTCTGAATTGATTTTCAGTTAAATAAATGTTAATAACATTAGGTTTAACGAGTACCTAGGTTTGCTGCTGCAAGGAAACTAATAAAGTGTGTGTTTTGAGTAAAATATTGATAGCTTAGTAAAAAATAAATAAATTTGCCAAGTTTGATCAAAATATATCCATAAACAAGCAAACTACAACATTTGACAATATTCTCCATAAGAATAACATGGGAATTTTAAAATTACAATTTTTTTAATTTTCTTCGTTACTAATAATCGAAAAAAATACTTTTATATACTAAATTATTTGTTTTTTAAGCTCTTGAAAAAGGTCTAAAGAGAAATCGGGAAATTTTGTGTTTTGAGGGTCAAAAGTGAGAAAAACCAATTTTTACCCCATAAAACCCCCCGTAAAGCCCCGTTCCCATGGTCCGATCGTTTATCCGTAAAGTTTATCCCGCTTTACACCTTTAAACAAAATTTCATCAAAATCGGACAAAAATTACTCAAGTTATCGCGTTCACGGACGTATATATATATATATATATATATATATATATATATATATATATATAAGTCTATATATATATATACATATATAAAAATTTGAACGAATGGTGTTTTTGGCCTCTGGGGACAACAAAATGAAAAAGTAAATCGGTCCCGGGTCTAGGTCTTACCGTGCCACCTACGGTAATAGCTACTTCCCTATAGGGAAATTCGCTAAAAAGAAATAAATAATACGAACAGAATTTAAATTTGGCAAAAGCATTTCAAATTCAATTAGCTTTCTTTTCTATCGGGGAGTTTTGTTCTTGACTCTTTTGATTTTCCCTCTTTCTCTTAATAATTTGGAATGCAATTTAACCTTATGTATTTTTTTAATAACCTACTCACTTAGTTTTGTTCCCATGACTCTATTTCATGTAACTATATGTTTTCATATTATGAAATAAAGATATTTTGATTGATTGATTGATACCTACTGAGCCACCGACTCACCAAATTGTATTATCCATTATATGATGACATATTTGGGCTTTATTTATTAGTCAATATTTGTTTTTGTTTTTAAATGCTTATACATAAAAAAAACATAAATTAAAATAGTATTGCCTAATACTATTTTAGGTAATAAAGGTTCTTCGGTTCAATATCAGCATTAAATTGTGGTTTAGAGTCTTTTCCAAATTTAAGTATCAGTTTCTAGCCGGATGAATTTAATAAGTTAAAAGTCTTCATCGGTGGAAGCCATCTTGAGTTTTACTCCCATAAGACTAATGCTAACTCTTGTGTGGATGCGTTTAACCAGATCATCAGCAGCACCACGCATCCACGCATAGCAGATCGTCATCGAAACATGATTTTGGTGTCAAATTAAAGATATGAGCGTCCTCTATGGAATTGCCGAAAAAGTTGTATCATACCAATTAAAATGTGAGTGTTAAGTTTAACACTTTTTCACTGCAAATCCGATAAGTTTTTTTGAAGATTTCTCTAGATATATGTCTTAAAAGTGTAACTACTAATTACCACACTTTCATCTTCATAACTAAATCTGCTACGCGTCCACAAGTTATCACTTAAAATGGGCTGATCAGGGCGGCGAACCTCGAGCAGGTGGAGTGATACAACCGAGGGACAACAAAACAAGACTGACGGATACTTTTCACAGTATTAACCAATACCATTGACTATTGGATACACTTATGTTGCTTGTTTAGAATATTATTCACACATTAAAATATGGTTCTAAATAGTTTTAATGATAAATAATACTATAAGTAATAATCTGAATTGTATATGGCAAATAAAGAGGCCTATGTTGTTTTATACTGCATCCACGTTAGTACGCTCAAGTTTGATTGATGACTATTGGCAGACAAGTACTGGATGGACAATGTATACTGCAGTGGAGAGGAGAGTCGTCTAGACAAGTGCAGATTTGACCCCTGGGGCATCAACGACTGTGAGGGGTCAGAGGCTGCAGGCGTCGTCTGCTACAAGCCTCCACCTGAGGAAACTGACCTCACAACCACCACCACCGAAACTCCCAAACCCACCAAGCAGCGCAGGAGAATACAGGTACAGTACACCGACTACCAAATACCGTACTCTGCAACTGTGGCACTTTACTGTGTACAATAATTTTGCTGTATCTAAACAATATCCTGATATTACTTATGACATTTAATTTATATAGTGAACATGTTGATTGTTTTCAGTTGAAATATGATTTTGTCAAAGTTTAACCGTATGAACGATAAACCAAAGCAGTGTTTAAGGAAAAGGGTTATTTTGTTTGTGTTCAATTTTACTTTTGGTTTTTGACATCCAAGTCCTAAATCACCAAATTTTACGATTCTAAGATAACATGTTTTGACAGGATATTCTGAACCATGGGCAGATCCAGGTGCGGTTGTCTGGAGGTCGGATCTACAACGAGGGCCGGGTGGAGGTCAAATACGGAGACTCGTGTGAGTAAACAATCGTTCTAAAAGAATAATACTATGTAAAATTTCAGTTTATGGCATGCATTTTGCAATACAAAGTGTTGGGTATTAAGATTACCATATATCACCTTTTATTCCGTAAATTATAATTTGCCTCACAGCTTTTTACTTAAAGTAAGTAGCATGAGGTGTTGGGTGTTAAAATATATGGTTTCAGTAGTCTGAGACATACTTTTTCCCATTAGGTTGTCAACAACCTTTATCATGGGTGGTGGGAGTAACTACGAAATTTTATGAGGTAAACCACAAACGCTGCAATTACATTTGAATCCTAATTTTTACAGCAATGAAGGTTGCATAATTTTGTTTAGAATCATAAGGACCATACATAACGTACGCAATTTCAATGAAATATTTCTAGTGGTATTTTTTTATAAAACAGTTAGGTGTTAGGTGCTAGCTACCATGGATTAACAAACTCCCTTAAAATTTTAAATTTTATCTTCGAGATCTAGGTAGCTCTTTTGGTTCAGTTCATTTTCTTTAGATTGGGTTTTCTTGTTTGCTGTTTTGTTTGTTATCTAACCAACTTTAAAACTACAGAACTACGGTAAGGTACTGTATTTTAAAAATAAGCATAAGAATGTGAAAGCTATTGCTGTTCGTTTTCTGGTGTTATGACCAAAGAGTATGACACAAATCGTCAATAAATAATCAATTATAACAATATAAGTACCCTACCAATTCAATCATATCACTAACTTAATGCCAAATACAAAATGTACAGAATAAGTTGTGTAAAGTATTTTCCAAACATGAAATATTTCATAACGGCCTTTGAGCAAGTGCGTTTTGTACAATTAATATATTTTAAGTTCGTGAGTTCAAACTTGGAATTTAATTTTGTACTTAAGTTGGAGACAGACTGTGAGTGATGTCTTATTGGGCCCGTGTCCCAGACCCAGTTCAGCCACTAAACATATATCAGTACAGTTCCATTCTTCTACTGTTCTTTTACTCATCCCTTGCTTTGCTTGATACTTACAATTCACACAAGCCTATGAGACCCAAAACAAGAAGCGGTCCCATGTAGCACAGATGGTTGGGCCAACGTTGGTAAATTGTGGAGCCACACAGTTGGCCAACGGTAGAAATGTCACCTCTTTAAACTGTTTTCCAACCAACCATTGTCCAACAATGGCCCAACCATCCAAAAATACTGATGGCCAACTAACCATAACACAACTCACAACTGATATCCAACCAACCGTTTTATTTCACACAAAAAAATAAAGATTTAGTATGTAAAGCATAATTATTAGTTGAGAAAATTGATTAAATAGTTCATAAAAACAAATTTTGAAAAAAGCTAGAACAAAACTTTTTTGCCCAGTCGGGTCTCAAACCCGGTCCTTCGACTTATGAGCCTCTTACTTTACCTCTGAGCTATTTGTGATTGTTGATATAGAGAGTTTTCAAGTGCTCAAAGATGTGTGCTCCCGCTATCTCCGCGTTCCGCCACCTCCAAACCCAAATCTGTCCCGCCACCTCCGAATTCTTGAGTGACCCTTATAATCCCGTCACTGCCTGCGTTGGTAGCTGTAATTGCATCCACGGCCCCGTGGATGGAAGATTTAATGAAAATTCAACCCGTGGGTTAGGTTAGGTTAGGTTAGGTTAGGTTAAGTTAGATTAGGTTAGGTTAGGACGGAAAGTCTTAACGCAAGTAGTAACCGAGGATTATAGGGGTCACTCTGAAATTCGGAGGTGGCGGGACACGGAGGTGGCGGGACGCGGAGATAGCGGGAGGTAACCCTCAAAGAGTAGTCCGCAGTTGCAATGGTCGCAATACTTAAAACATTTTTGATGCTACAGTATAATATGATTCTGTTAATCTGTTTAGGCATCAAGTGTAGTTAATATATTTTTTTTGGAGTTAGAGAGGATAGGTACTGGTATTTGAATATAGGCTAGATTATTTAATTACCGTTAGATTATCAATGTTATTATAATTGACTGTTATATGATTAATTAATCTTTCCCCTTAAATTGTTGCAAATAAGTTAAAGAATATTAATTAAACAAAATTTGCATTATTATAATTATGTTGTGAAAGCTAGATCCAGAGAATGAAAGTCGTGTAAACTCAACTATGGACCATCAGTATCTTTTGTTGGTCCAACGGAGTGAAAAACGGTTGGACAACGGTTGGCTTAATGTATTATACCCAGCAATGCATATTAATGTATTTCATTAACAATGAACCAATAGCCCAGTCAATAAATGTTTTTAATCGCAACTAAATGGTGGAAAGTTGGATTTTTTATATGTGATAGAACCACATGAGAGGTGTATTTTCCCAAAAGTTCCCACTTCTACCCCTTGAGCTTTCCCCCCCACCCCCCTCCAAACATAGAAATTGCAGTGTTTTACTTAATTGATCATAACTCGAATGCTATGTAAGCTATTGAGCTGAAATTTGTTTTGTTTTATTTGTGCTTAGTTTTCCTACAACTTTTGTATTTATAACATTTTTCTAAAACCAATACTTAGGGAGATATAAAATTTAAACTTCGTTAAAAGCTTTGTTTCAGAGTGCAAAATTTTGTTTTCTCTATTTATACTTTTAAATAGAAATAATACGCGAATATGGTAGAAACAAAAGTTTTAGTACGTTTTCAAGGTTTACAAATATATTATTGGTTAGTCATCTTGGTGACCGGGTGAAGAGCTGGGCGTCGGCAAAGAGAGCGCGTGCGGGCTAGTTGAACACTTCTGCGCTGCGTCATCGCATCTAGCCCAGCCAATAAACGCACAAACTGCCTTTTTTCGTACTAAATAGTGGAAATCAGAATTTGTTATATGTGATGGAACCACTTAAGACGTGTATTTTCAAAAAGTTCCCGATTCTCCCCCTTGAGCTTTCCCCCCCAACCCCTTCCAAACCTGGAAATTACAGTCGTTCACTTTCCTGGAGATAATTAAAATTTTATGCATGCCATCGTAGTGAAATTTGATTTGGATTATTTATAATAAGCTTATCTACAATTTTTGTACTAAAGGTTTTCTTTAAAAACTATATCCAAAGAGATTAGGCATTTTAACTTTTTCTTATAGCCTAATGTTTATGTTTTATAGTACACAATTTTGTTTTACTCTCTATATTTGTTTCAAATAAAATACGCAAAATGTGACAGAAACAAAATTTTAGTATGTTTCTTAACGTTTATAAATATTTATTTGGTTAGTCATTTGATAAAACTAATGTAGTGTGGGCGAGGCAAATACAGCGCGTGCAGGCTTCTTAAAGCATCCGCGTAGCCCTGCCCTTCGATGCATAATAAGGACCGGCACCGCTAAGTTCTCAACTGTTTCATACAAATCCTAAGACTTCCTAATTTGTAGCCTACTTTACTACCAAAACAATCTGGTTCCAAGCTTAACCGTAACTAAATGAACGCGGTCAGTAAAAGGTTTTCGTCGACCCACTAATCCTTGATACAAACTGCGTCCTATCGTTGATATGTCCCTCTCTTCACGCTTCCCACTAGCAAGGGTTAGCTTTCTGCTCTGCCATGAGTTGTAAGCCTGTGTTAAAATAATATCACGAACAACGTAGAAAACTGTTCGTATTATTTATAAGCCATTTTAAATCATGGTAAGGAATAGAAATTAAAACCAGCCAATGTCAACTAATTGTTTTAGGCCTATTAAGTCTATATAGAGATTTTAAAACACTTAAATAAGCGCCTACCACAAACCAATAAAGAACTATTTGCTGATTAATTTTTAAGATAACCAAGATTAGAGTCTCTAAAAATTATTGATCTCGACCACGTATTAGTGCCGTAAAGCAGATTCGTAATACATTGCTGCAAATTTTTACGAAAAAAACGCAATTTGATTGACACATCTACACAATATGTTAAGAAAGGAAATTTGAATAATCTGTCTGTATGTATCCCGTAAATAGTCTTGCCTGCATGTATAGGGACACAAATATACTTTTTTACTTACTTATTTATAACTTTTGGATATATGCCTTATTACATTAATTAATTGGAAAGTAAATAAAAGAAAATAGTCTAATAGCCTAACACTTAAAACATAAATTTATACTTATAATGTTACTCACAATACTGTAAATATACATAAAAGATGGTAAGTGGTGGTAGATTTCGATTCGACACTCCAATCATCCTCAGACCCATAGCCGAATTGGGTCATCTCATCATTGGGTTCAGTATGTTTCTTACCCAGCTTTATGTAATGTAATATTTATCCATGTATATTATTGTCAATAGGTGTAGCCGTTGACAGAAATAATTAAATAAATTATTAATTCAAATGAGAAACGAGTTAAAACTAACAATAAATTTAAGAAATGTACAAATGATTAGGTTTCATATAATTAGTATTTTTTGCAGTTTACTGTTTAGATCTTTACTGACCACGAGTAGCAGTTAGTATAAATTTTGTGGAACAAAGCGAGTCTCATTGGGGATGGATAATGGAAAGCACATTGTAACGTAAGAAAGAGCAAAGAGTACGTTTATAGTGGTTTTTAATGTGTTTATTATGCCTAGTGTTGTATACCCCAATCTATCATACTTCCGTTGGTCAAAGATGAAGAAATCAAGTATTACAAGTATTGCAAGTATAACAAGTAAGTAGGTAGAGATTAATTTATCTGAACCAAAACTGGTTATAAAAAAGTAAATGATTGGGTTCCGTCTAAATAATAATTGTTTTTGCTGTTCACGGTTAAGCTTGGATACAGATTGTTTTGTTTTGGTAGTAAAGTACAAAGTACAAAGCCTTAGCATTTGTTTACAACCTTTGAGAACTTACAGTACTTAGCGATGTCGGTGCCTACGACGCGACGCATCGACGGGCGGGGCTGCGCTGCGCGGATCCTTTGAAGAAGCCTACACGCGCTATCTATTTGCCGACGCACCACACTACATTAGTTTTTTTCAGATGACTAACCAAATATATATTTATAAACGTAAGAAACATACTAAAAATTTTGTTTGAAACATTTTGCGTATTTTATTCGGGAAAATATATAGAGATTAAAACAAAATTGTGTTCTCTAAAACATAAACATTATCAAAAAAAGTTAAAATGTTATATTTTTTTGGATATAGTTTTATAAGAAAATCTTAAGTATAAAAGTTGTAGATAAACTTATTATAAATAATACAAATCAAATTTCACTACGATGGCATGCATAGAATTTGAATTATATCCAGTAAAGTGAACAACTGTAATTTCCAGGTTTGGAAGGGGTTGGGCGGGGGAGCTCAAGGGGGAGAATCGGACACTTTTTGAAAATACACGTCTTAAGTGGTTCCATCACATTTAACAAACTCAGCTTTCCACTATTTAGCTACGAAAAAAGGCAGTTTGTGCGTTTTTTGGCTGGGCTAGATGCGATGACGCAGCGCAGAGGTGTTCAACTAGCCCGCTTACGCTCTCTTTGCCGACGCCCAGCTCCTCACCCGGTCACCTAGATGACTAACCAATAATATATTTGTAAACCTTGAAAAACGTACTAAAACTTTTGTTTGTACCATATTCGCGTATTATTTCTATTTAAAAGTATAAATAGAGAAAAACAAAATTTTGCACTCTGAAACAAAGCTTTTAACGAAGTTTAAATTTTACATCTCCCTAAGTATTTGTTTTAGAAAAATGTTATAAATACAAAAGTTGTAGGAAAATTAAGCACAAATAAAACAAAACAAATTTCAGCTCGATAGCTTACATAGCATTCGAGTTATGATCAATTAAGTAAAACACTGCAATTTCTATGTTTGGGTGGGGGGGTGGGGGGAAAGCTCAAGGGGTAGAAGTGGGGACTTTTGGGAAAATACACCTCTCATGTGGTTATATCACATATATAAAATCCAGGTTTCCACCATTTAGTTGCGAAAAAGGGTGTTTTATTGCATTCATTGACTGGGCTACAATGTTGGTTCACAGTTGTAAATATTGGTTGGCCCAACTACGAGATATACAGTTGGACAACGGTTGGTTGGTTGTGGAAGCTCCAACCAACCATCGACCAACTGTCCCACAATTGGCCAATTTTGGCCCAACCATCTGTGCTACATGGGGTGAATGAAATAAAATAAGTTTTGTGGGGAAAAGGCGGCTGTACCGGTAATTTTTGAGTTTTGGAAATTTTAATGTAGGTAATATCTTTGACTTAATACCCAATAGTTAATCAATGGTAAAATTTTAGTTTTGGTCCAGGAATTTACCTTATAAGGTCGATAGAGGGTTCAGGGACACTCCATAAATACAAAATATTTGGTAAAAGTATTATATTGTGTTCTGCAGCCTGGGGACTGATATGTGGAGATGGCTGGAGTCTGCTAGAGGCATCCGTGGTGTGTCGTCAGTTGGGTTACGGGTTTGCCAGTGACGCTCTACAAACAAGTTTCTTTGGTGGGTCGAGTGACGACATCGTCATGTCAGGAGTGGAGTGTCGGGGCAATGAGTTCAGCTTGGCCCACTGTCTACATGATGACATGGAGACTCTGTCTTGCCCAGGAGAGAGTGACAACATGGCTGCTGTCGTCTGCACCAGAGGTAGGTCATGAATCATCCTAAAAAAAATCCTGAAATTAACATTTTATTACATTCATTATTTATAAGCCCATCAGTTTTAACAATAAATAGTGATCTGGGGAAGCATTGCCTTCTATTTATAGGCATGCCAACTTAATCAAAACGTTTGTTTCCTGTTTTGGCTGTTTTTATTTTAATTTTCAATTTATTTACCAGAAATGGCAGACCTAGTGATTGATGCAGAGGAGATTGAGCGTACAACGCATCTTGATGACCGACAAATGTACTTCCTACAATGTGCTATGGAGGAAAATTGCTTGGCATCAGAGGTGTGTAGTAATCTTCCTTTCTATCCATCTGTAAATAATAATTTTAAATTATATCTTCACCTTTTATTTATCAATGTTGAAGCGAAATTTAATTATGCTCTGTCTTAAATTCTTAATGCGCTGTGTTTTAATTTTATTTGTCAAATAATAGATAATTAGTATAGGCCTAATGAAAGTACATGGACATTGAACAATGTCATGACCCAGTGGCTCAGAGCCCACATTATTATAGTTCTTCCAAGTAAAAATAAGCAAGGAAGATCCATGATCAACTATCTCTACATTCCCTGCAAGAAGCCAATAGATATAATAAACCCTTGGATTAGTACAACTAGTAAAATAAAAGTAGAACCTCACTAATCCGACCTCCGATGGTCAGACTCCTCGTTTGGTCCGAGCATACCACCAACACAATTAATAGGCTTCCGCTAACATAACCGGTACAACTCAGGACATACAATTATTTTAATTGTATTAGATTTTAATTCCGTAGAAATTAAAATCTCTGTATTTGCAACCGACAAAACAAACTCCAAGAGACTTAATGATTTCACCGGTATAAGTTTTCATCTCAACAGCAGTTTTGAAAAGACGCTTATTTTCATGTGAAAATCACTGTAAGATATTGAGCTTAAGCGCCTGTATCAAGTTCCATTTTCAGTATATTTCCCTCAATATCCACATATACAGGGTGAATAAAAAGTCAAGACCCCCCCCTCTAATATTTTTCCAAGTAAATATACAGAGATATCCTTTTGGTGGTCGAGCAATCTTAGCAGGAAGTTTCATTTTATCATTTTGAAACTTTTGAGTGTCCCCCCAAAAGGGGGGATTTGGGGGGCAACTCAAATATTTTAAATGTAAACCCCCTTTAAGTGACACCTCATTTTGAAGTGTTTACAAAAACTTAAAGAATGGTGAAAACTAAAGGTCGCTATCTCTTCTCTATCCAAAATGACAGCCAATATTAACAATTTTACCATTGATTTTCCACAACATTTGACAGGCTACCATTTTGGATAGAAAAGAGATAGCGACCTCTAGTTTTCACCATTCTTTAAGTTTTTGTAAACACTTCAAAATGAGGTGTCACTTGAAGGGGGTTTACTTTTAAAATATTTGAGTTGCCCCCCAAATCCCCCCTTTTGGGGGGACACTCAAAAATTTCAAAATGATAAAATGAAACTTCCTGCTAAGATTGCTTGACCACCAAAAGGATATTTCTCTATATTTACTTGGAAAAATATTAGAGGGGGGGTCTTGACTTTTTATTCACCCTGTATATTACAAACTTATCACTTCATGATGAAGTTGACGCCATTGTATAAATCTCGTGGAACGACGAATGGTTATCCTCAACATCAATTAAATTTCATTTTAGTTCCTTGTCTTTCCCAGTTTTGATCTCATTCTACTGCTAGATAAGCAAACTCTTGTAATATGTCCAATCTTATTACATTTTCGACAGAATTTATTCTTAAATCTGCAAAAATTAGCCTTATGCCGTTCACTGCCACATCTGTAACACTTGCCTTTCAAATTTTCAAAAGAAACTATGGTTTTGTTTCCCTTGAATGCACTTTGTTTGGCTTGGTAGCCAGATTGCAGTCGTTTAATGTTAACTGTGTCTTTTAGAATTGTATCTTGATTTTTCAAATTCATTTCACAACTTTCCGATTTAGATTCTTCTTTGTAAATTGCAGTTTGCACCATTTCGTTGTAAGAAATTTTGTTATCTTATTCTTGAAGATGTCTAATCCTAAATCCTAATTATTCCATTCTTCATTTAATTTTCTCTCAACCCTTTCATGCATGTATTTATAGATTTTGAAATATGTGCTTATTTTCAGGTTTAGAATGTTAAAATAAGCTGAAAACCATTTATTTTTTATTTTTTACATTATTTTATTTTTTTTACGATAGGTGGGTTCGTGACGTTCCCACTGTGCAATTGTAATTCTCTGAATAGTACTTTGTAATATTTGACTGTTTAGGACATAAAAATAAACTAAACAGTTTATTTTGAAATTTTACCGTATTTAATCATATTTGTTACTTTATATGGGTTTTATAGAGTCCGTGTACAATTATTATGGTACTAAAACAATAGGAAAAAATCATGTACGTTAGAAAGAATGTAATATAAAAAATTGGAAAAATCATGTACATTGTTGGAAAACATTATTGATGATAGAAAAACTTATATAAACTAAGTCTACTTTTTATGGTACTCTAGAAAACAGTTTTTCTTCTCATTCAAGCATAGTGCTACATCACAGGTTGTACACTTCCACCTGGAACGGTGCTCATGTTCTTTTGTGGAGCAGTGAGCACATCTTCTCTGGCCATTGTTCGCACATCTTGTAGGCATATGAGCGCACTCAGAATACCTTATTTCTTGAGAGACGATTGGCTTGAACTTGTTTACAGGAGGCAATGAGGGGCGCCTTCCTCTTGTCTCTCCTCTTAGTACCCCGATGAGAGCTCTTGATACACTTAGTCGAAACTCTTTTAGAAGTAGAGGTTTTCCCATGTCTGTGGAATTTGAGTTGAATATGACCAATGCATTGACTACTGTTGTATCCAAGAAGTGAAAGAAAAGTCTATGCCACCACTTTTTTGATTTTCTGTCGATGGAGCAGATTTTAGCATATCAGCCTTGTCTACATAACCCATGTGGTTGTTGTAATCCTTTACCAAAGAAGGACAATTCACCACTTTTATTGATCCGTCATGCTGCTTCCTGTTGACGGTGCTTCGTTCATTTGGGTTGTGGTAATTAGACACGAAATTTATTCCTTTTTTGTCCTTCCATCTTACAGCTACAATTCCTGTTCTTGTTGACATGAAAGAGAATTCGCCATGTTCCATGAGTTTACCGTCTGGAAACATTCATTAGGGAAAAATACTCTGTCGTAATTTATAGTACCACATGCTTGAATGTGGTTCTGTTGTAGGTAAATCATCAAAGGAATTGAGTTGAAAAAATTATCAAAATACACTCTGTAATTTTTTCCTATTAGTTCCGTAGTCAGGTCTGTGACAACTCTTTGGCCCAAGGCTGTTTCAACTTTGTTCTGCTTCTTCCCTTCGTATACCTCGAACTTCGATACATATCCTTTATCATCAGCCCTCACCCAAATTTTGTAACCACGCTTTGTGGGTTTATCAGGCATGTACTGCTTCAAAGAGCATCTTCCCTTGAAGGGGACCATGCTCTCATCGACCGATTGGTATTCAGATGGGTAATACGAGGTTTTGTAGGATTCTGAGAGTTTGTTCAAAAGCGGCCTGATTTTATAAAGTTTATCATAATCAGGGGAACCTCGAAGGGGCATATCATTGTTGTTGTTTATATGGAGATTGTTCAGCATCCAACCAAATCGGTTTACAGACATGGCTGAAGCTATATATGAATCTCGAAGCTCAGGCATAGAGGACCAATAATCTCTGTATGATGGCAATTTCTTTATCCCCATGAGAATATTTATTCCAAGAAAGACTTTCATTTCTCTTTTGTCCGTTGGGTTTCTAAGAACACCACCCTCATTTTGCGTTGCATAAATGTTGGTTTGATATACTAACAGTTCAACTAACTCATCAGTAAAGAGAGCTGAAAATGCATCAATGGGATTTTCTGTTTCTACCTGAGGACCTGTAAGTTCATGAAAATCATATTGTATATTTGGCTCAAAATATAACTCTTCCCACTCAACTGTTTCTTCATAAATCCTTGTAGCGAGGGGTACATCGTTTTCAACATAACCATCAGCTATAACGTCTGGTTGAATGGGTGTTTGATTATCAAACCCTTCTTCTGGTTCGGGTGGTTCTCCATGGATTTGGGCTGCATCAGGTGGAACTTCTACCACAAAAAGATATTCTTCTTGTATTTCCATTATCAGGAAAAAATTATCAAGAATTATCAGGAATTTCCATTGGTGCTGTAAAGAAGTGTTTTTAACTCCCAAGAGAATTTTTGAGGTTAAAGATACAAAGGTACTCGGAGACATCGAAATGACTCCAATGGAGGGGAGAGATGCTCCGATGGGGGTGGTAAGGTACTCACCCCCACCTCTTGGGTACCATTCGACGGGTACTTAACCAGGGTGTTGCTACGCACCATAAAGCTTTCTATAGACTTTTCATTAACTTAGGCCTACAAAATTCCTATGGCTATTAAGTTAGCCCACATTGAACTCAAAGTCATTTCTTTCTTAATAAAGATAATTCCTAATTTGTGTTTTATTTCTGTCTAATAAGGTAAGTCATTGTCTTAATCTTATAATTATGAATTATTCTAAGAATAAATAGATTTGGTAAGTTACAATATATAATTTATTAATGAAATACAAAAGATAAGTTATTGGTTGAATTAGCTACAGGGTAAGTTAACAATGGTAAATTTTCAAAATGGTTGGGTTCCAAAGTGGGTGAAAAGATTCTCTAGGCTTAGGCCTATATTGGGTTGGTTTCTTCTTAAGTACTAATTAATATTCAAATAGATGACCTCTTAATCTCAGGGAGGGGTGGTCGTGCCGGTTCGAATGATATATTAGGCTTCTTTAAAATGTAGATAATTTAATTTAGTTATTGTTCTGAAATAAGTTAAGCTAGGTTCATGATGCTATTAATATAATAATGTTAATGTCCAAAGAAAGATTCCAAATGGTTTCACTGAATTTAATGAAATAAAATAGAATTTGAAGATTAAATTTTGAATAAAAGTTCAATTTGAAATATATATATATCTTGATGAGTTAAGTTAATTTGGCCTATTAGGCTATGCTGATTAAATGTCCAATGAAGATTAAATTTGTCCTTAGTTAAATAAGATGGATGATGGTTACCAAATTTGGAGTGTCTGTCTTCTTATAAATTTGTACTCTTCAATGCACTTGTCCAATACTTTTGGATGATGAGAAATTTAAATTTTAGGGATTTACTTTGGGATTATGAATTTTAGTTTAAATTAAACACAATTTCCAATAGAATGATGT